CCTGCTGTGGGGCCGCCTCGCCCCCGCCCTGTGAGCCTGCGGCACCTCCTTTCCCCCCAAAGGTGTGACCGTGCCTCTGCCCAGGTCCCGGCGTCTCCGGACCGGCCGTGCAGGCGCCGGGTGGCGCGATGGTCCCTGATGAAGGCGGGCGAGTTCCTCTCGTAAAGGAGCCGAAATGCGGCCTGGGGGCTGCGCAGTCCCGCAGGTTGTGGAGGTGGTTAGAGCGACCCGCTGTTCTCATTGGGCACCTGCTTTTCTGTTTCCCACTTGGCCATGTGCGCGTGGCTTCTGCTAAGAAAAAACCTACAAACTGCGTGTTTAAAGAATCAGGTGGGGTCTCACTGACCGTCACGGGAATTCCACACGTTGGGGCCTGGTTTCTAGCCTCTCTGTCTGCATGAAGTCTGGGGGGGAGACGGGGCCCGGGCTGGAGGCTTTGGGATTGAAGATCATCCCTCACACACGCTGGGACCGACTGTCTTGAAGAAGGAAGGAAGGGCGCTGGCCGGGCCGCTCAGCTGGTCCGAGCGTCCTGGCCATAGGCAGGGCTGTGGGTTTGATACCCAGTCGGGCACATACAGGGATCACCCTGTGAATCCATACGCAAGTGGCACCACAAATCGATGTCTGTCTGTCTCTCTCTAAAAAAAAATCAGTAAGTAAAAGAAGGAAGGAGAAACAGTCCCCAGCCTGTGGGGTGGAGGAAACGCTCCAAACGGAGCAGAACTTGCTTCCTTGTTACCTCTGAGGACTCCGCTGTACGGAGGATTGTTTGAGGACAGGGACTTATTTCAGAAAGGGGCCGTTAAAGGGCGGCATCTACTAAGCACCTGCGAGGTGCCACATGCCAGCTGGCAATACAGCCGTGAGGCCAGGTCCCATCCTTGAGGTGCCCTGGGCTGGCCCTTGAGGGGGCTCATGGGAGCTGCAGAGTCACCTGCAGCTGCTAGGGGAGGCCCTGGAGGGGAGCGAACCACTCTGGCCCCAGAAAAGCTGTGACAGCCACCAGGAGGCCACAGCATTCCTGAGGGGAGGGCAGAGGCCGGGTCCTTCGGGCTCCGCTGGGAGGCTGTGGTCACAGGCCTCTGAGACCCACTTCATGTCCCGGCTGGGCCCCCAGAGGGCTGGTGTGCCGGGGGAGTGGGGGCCTTTCTGGGCGGGAGCCCCCACCCATGGGACTCATTTGTTCACTCAGCCACTCGCACATGTCGAATACCTGCCTTTGCAGAGCGCCTGCCTGTGGACGTGCAGAAAGCGCAGCCGGTGTTTCCCAAACTCTCCAGTCGCCTTGCATGGCTGGCCTGCCTCGGTCACCTGTGGGGTTTTCTCAGAACTTGCCCGTCCACCCAAAAATCCCCATTTTGAGGCCTGGCCCAGCCAAGATGGAAAGCCCCTCATCACGACTTTCTGAAGAAAAGGCAACAGGATGAGACGCGATGAAAGCTCGGGGTGAAGCGTGTCTCTGCGTGTGAGAAACCTTGAGGACACCGGGTGCCTCCCGGCGAAACACGCAGGGGACCCGTGGCCTGTGCAGACCCAAAGCTCACTGTGCAGGTGGCACAGGAGGTAGGACCCAGGTATGCGTCACTGAAACCTCCTTCCCAGCTCAGTGCTTCTGAAGGCCGAGCGGCGCACACTGAGCCCTCCTCCCACTCACTGCGCTGTGGGGCATCCGGGCCTCGGATTCGGGATGAAACCTGCCACCCATACACCTTCTTTTTTTTTTTTTTAACCTTTATTGTTGAAAGCATTACATAGGTCCTCCTTTCCCTCCATTAACCTCGTCCAGCTCGATCCCGTCCTCCCCCCACCCAGGCCCGCACCACCGCACTGTCTGTGTCCACGGACTCTGCATATACAGTGGGGCCTTGACTTACGAGTGCTCCGACTAACGAGTTTTTTGAGATACCAGCTGTCTCTTGGCCGATTTTTTGCATTGAGTTGATAGAGTAATTTGAGTTAACGAGCTCGGTCTTGGAACAAATTAAACTCATAAGTCAAGGCCCCACTGTATGCATACCAGTCCATTGGTGGATCTCTTCCCACCCACCCTCCCCTGCTTTCTCTCTGAGGTTCAGCTCTGTTCATGCTTCTGTCTCTGGGCCTGTTTTTGATCATCAGTTTATTTGGTTCATTCGATCCCACATGTGAGTGAGATCCTGTGATGCCTGTCTTTCTCTGACTGACCCGTGCACCTTTCTTGAACAGCCTGTGTGTTCTCTGTAAACAAATGTTTCAGACACAAATGCCCTCCAAGTGGGAACAGGGAGCCCAGTGGGTGCCGGAAGCCAATTCCAGCATGACAGCAGGGCTGAATCTGGGAATGGCTGATGGCATTTCCCCAAACCTGAATAGGATACATTAAATTGTTTGTTTGCTGCCAGACAGCTCAGGGCATCTTAATCTACTTGTTATTGCCTCCTACTGGCCAAACACCTGAACAGCGGTAGGCTAATTCTCCCCAATCTGACAATGGACTGTGTATACGAAACCTGACCCTTTGAAGTGTCTATCTCCCCCTCGACCAGGACAATTTGTGGTAATAAAAAGCATGGGGTCCCCTTTGAAGTATATCTCCCCCTCGACCAGGACAATTTGTGGTAATAAAAAGCATGGGGTCTGAGAACCAAGATGGCGGCATAGGTTAACGCCAGAGTTTGCTGCCTCGAACAACCACTTCAAAAGTGAAACTAAAAGACGCGG